TTGCCTACATAGGGCTTTATTTTGGCTCTAATGCAGTACTTGATCTCTGGATTTCTGACCTTATTGTTCCAATAATATTAGTTGAAAATATAATAATAATGACCTTTCCAAATACCCGCCTTACCCAATGGCCCTAAAGAGATTTGAACATTCCCAATCTCCCACTGACCCTCAAACTTAATGAAGTCCCAGAGATTCATATAAGTATATGAGGGCCCACTATGGGCTAGAATTTTTCCAAAGTTCTAGGCTGAACAATTTCACCTAGTTACTTTAGTTATAATTTTCATTGCTAAACTATTATAATTAACCTTAGTATTAGCTATGAAAAGCAAGACATGAAGAATTTAAGTAATTTGTACAAGGTAACAGAGCCAATAAATGGAAAAGTCAGAGTTTGAATAAGATCACTTGGTCCTCCCAAGAGTTCCTTCTACAAGCTCAGAGCTATCTGATTTTTTAAAACAATAACAAGAATCTACACAATCATCAGGTTCTCGTGCCTATTTTTTCCTCAATTTCATAACAACATAATGCCTTAAATTCTACCACATATTGTTGTTTTAGCTGGCACACACCTGGGATCCCATCACTCCAGAGTCTGAAACAGGAGGATCAGCAGGAGATCAAGGCCAGCCTGGGATACATAATGAGGTTAAGGTCAGCCTGAATTACATAGTGAGATCTTGTCTCAAAACAAAACACACAAAATATTGTTGTTTTGTTAACTAACGTTCTATCTAAAAGAATTCTATAGGAAAAATGAGTTAGGGCCAAGGTCACTAATAGTGATGACCATCCATTCCAGTGCCTTTGGAATTTTATATTAGAAGAGAATGTCTCAACATATCTTATTATCAAATGTAACTGTGTAATTATGGGCCTCTTTTGAAATGTGTCCCCTGCCAATTCTGGGCCTTCACAGCCAGGGCTGGTAATTTAAAGGACTGTTTCTTAAAACTGTCAGATTTGTTTGTGGAACATCATTTTGGTAATTAGCAGGATTTTTTTTTTTCCTCACATTTGACAGATTTAGCCAGTCAGGCCTAAAATACAGCCATTTTACTTTTAAAAATCTACTCCAGCAATTTTTTTCTTGTTGCAAAATTTAAGATAATTATATAGGATAAAAGTTGTCCTGAATTATAATGGCTTTCCTTTTATTTACTTTGGTTAAAAAGGCATAACATTAAATTTATATTTCCCATGTTTAAGTATATAGTTCAGTTGTGCTAAGTATATTCATACTGTTGTACAACAGATCTCTAGAAATTTTTCATCTTTCAAAACTGAAACTGTATTCATTACACGCTAACTCTCCCCAACTTTTAGCAACCTTCTTTTTCTGTGATATTGACACCTTCAGATACTTTATAAAAAGAGAATTATACAGTATTTATCTTTTTGTGACTAGCTTATTTAGCAGTGTTAGCAAGTTTCATCCATATTGTAGCATATAACTGGATATCTTCCTTGTTTAAAGCTGCACAATATTCTACTGGATGTACATTTGTCCCTTAATATCCTTGAAATTGTTATCAAGGAAGACTTTTCCCCACCCTTCCCCTGAGGCCAAGATGCATGGATGCTCATGTCCCTTATATAAAATGGTACAGTGTTTACATATAATTTATGCACATCCTCTTGTAAACAGTACTTTACATCATCTCTAAATTACTTATCATATTTAATTCATTGATGTAAATTCTATTTAAGTAATTAATGTTCAGGAAATAGTGACAATAAAATAACCATCAATACCTGTTCAGTACACACATTTTTTTTGCTGAATATTTTCAGTCACAGGTTGTTTGAATCCACAGATGTGAAACTCATACATACCAAGAGCCAACTATATATATGTATGCCACATTTTCTTTATCCACTTATCAGTCAGTGAATATCTGAGCTGTTTGCACCTCTTTGTAATTGTGAATAATGTCATAATAAACATGAGTATGCAAATATTACTTTTAATTCTTGCCTTGAATTATTTTGAATGTATACCTAAAGGTGGGATTGCTGGATCATATGGTTATTGTTTTAATTTTTTGTTTTAGAAAACTCCATATTATTTTCTGTAATGGCTATACCATTTACACATTTTGAGTTCTTGTTAGTATATGTTATAACCTAATGGCCCAACATTTTACTTTTCATATGGATATACTTTTCCCAACACCCTATGTGGAAGACACTGTCCCTTCTTCTATAGTTTGATATCCTTGTAAAGGATCATTTTAACAAAGATCAAAATATAGAAAGATTCATTTCTGATTCTCTGTTCCATTTGTCTGTGTCTCTTGAGCACCTCCTTTTGTATTATAAAGTTTGTCTTCCTGTTTCCAAAGGAACCAAATTCCTCTTTGAGAGAGAAAAAAATGTCTTTCTTCTATGTTTGATACAATAATCTGACATTCTGTTTTTCTATGGCTGGTTAGTTGATTTGTTTGCTTGTTTGTTGAGGTGTGTATGTCAGACATATTAAATATTCCAATGCAATGATCTCAAATCATATAATTTAAACTAAAATAGAGCATTACCCATGACAATATTGAAACTATAGCCCCACAGATGCTAATTTCCAGTAGTAATAGACTGCTTTGGGATTGTTTCATACAACTTGAATACATATTTGATTTCCTGAAACATTTTCTTAAATTTGGTCAAAACCTAAAAATTAGTTGAAATTCCATCTCAAGAGTATGAAAGGTAGATTTATTCTTTTGGCTATTTTGAATTAAGATAGAAGAATAACCTGTGACAGAAATTTTTTTAATGTTTATTGTGGCCTTTGCACTTAGAAATATAGTGGAATAAATTTATAGAGTTAATGCTGTTTGCAAAATGTTATTCTCTGAAATGTGTTTTCAGTTTATATAATTTCTGTTAAAAGTGAGAGTCAGGTAGTTTTATAATATTGAAAAGTTTTGCAAATACATAATGGATGGCAAAATAACCAGATTTGGAAGTAAAGTGGGAGGAAAGGAACATCAAATATTTCTTCCCCACAAAGACTAGCAAGATTCCAGCATCACGTAACATATTCATTTTATCTCAGATTTGCCTGAATCTTGATTGGATGATATTATCTCATAGACCAGTTATAAGGCTTGCATATTTTTTAAAACAACAGAAAGCTGCAAGATGTTTATTCCCATTAAAATATGACATAACTATATAATTTTTATTACTGGCTGTTTGTATTATACTTTTTTGTCAATCATAAGGTAACTATATTTCTCAAAATAAAAAGATAACATGAAGTGAGACACTGTTATGTGTTGAACATTGGACTTTAAACACACTATATGCAGTTTTATTGACTCCTTCTAGAAAATACTAGTGACAGTTCCTTCATTGCTAAAAGCTAAAGTGCATTATGACAATAAAAAAATTAAGAAAATATATTAACTCTACTTTCAATATTTTGCAAGTGACTGTCCCAATCTTGGAAAAACAAAACAACCATACTGGATATATTATGCCTTTTTTTTTTTTTTTTTTCGTGGTAATGGAGATTAAACACAGTACCTTTGCACTGAGCTGCATCCCCAGACCTTTTTATTTTTCATTTTGAGACAGGATCATGCTAAATTGCCCAGGCTGGGCTCAAATTTGCCATCTTTCTGCCTCAGAAACCCAGAGGGCTGGGATTACAGGTGTGTACTACAATGTCCAGCTTTTTATACCTGATTGGTACTCAGAAAACTAGAAACATTAACTATGAGTTTTTACAAGCCAGTGAGCAATACTACGTATTTGACCTCAGAGGATTTTATTAAAACCAATAGATGATGGCTAATAAAAATCAAATATCCTTAGCTTTCCTACTTTAGTTTTCCTTGGACAACCACTGCTTAGCTAAAACACAATGGGTGAGAGATACAATAACATGATAATAACAAATATAATTAACTTTTATGAGCTTTCAATGTTCCAGTCAGTCACTATGCCAAGAGCTTTATATAGATTCCTATAATTCTTAGTAATCTTGTAAGAGGTAGTTTTATGACAAAGCTTATTTTCTAAATTGAAGAAATTATGGCTTCAAGAGATTATGTAACATATCCATGATTTACAACTGTTTAGTTACCAGTGACATTCCCATGAGATTAATAAAACTATGTATGTGGTATATATTTATATCACATATATTTGTGTATTACGCATATTTGTGTTTTTAATGAAGACTGGTGGTATGATAGAATAGAGTCCTTTTATTTATTCAGTCAAAGTTAGACGCAGCTACTAGAACCTAGGAAAAACTGATGTCTTATTTTTATGATTCTGTTAATTTAAATTAATCTTTTACAAAAAAATAAATCTAGAAAAGCTTTGGCTGAATATGTCTTACAGAATGTACCATTTGGAGAAGAAAGAATTCCTAGAAACAAATGAGGTGTTAATTAAATGTAAATAATTAATAATACACTAAGCCTTTAATAAACTATTGTGGTTTACTTTTACTAGGAATTACCTTTAAACTTTTTGGAACCATAAATATATGTGGTATTTAAAGTCATCATTGTTTTTAAAGAAATAACATTTGCAAGTTTTTTTGTGTATTGCTAGTAAGAGTGTACATGTTTGTATGTACATATGTGTATGTGCAATGACTTTGTCCACTAGTACATGTTGTCCAAATTGTAAAAGTGAAGGACCACTGGTTTTAGTGTAGTGAAATGTATAAGACTATCCTACAGTTTAAAAGCTTATGTAAGGTAGGCATGGTGACACAAGGATCGCAAATTAAAACCCAGCTTGGGCTAAAACAACTTAGTGGGACCTTGTCTTTAAAAAAGGGAGGGAGCAGAGGGAGATGTAGCTCAGTACTATAAAAAAAAAAATACTTAAAAGTCTACTTGGTTATTTTGAATGCATTTCGGATACTTCTTTTATTAGATTTGTGAGTGACTATGCCATGTTAGTAAAAAGAAAGGTAACAATGTAGAAAAGATATGGAATAAACGTAATATCTTTCCTAATCTAATTTTCAGACACATCTCTGGACTTTGATTTGGCTGAAGACTTGTGCACATACCTGGAATAGAGAAACACAGTTAAAAGACTTCAAATTATCTCCTGCCTCTTGAAAAGTCCAGAAAACCATCCTTTTGGACTGTGGAATTCTGTAAATTTCAACCAAGACATTGCTTGAATGTTTACATTTTCTCCTTGCTGTCTTACTTTTCGCTGTATAGTGTTCGCATTTTGTTAAAACTCACGAGTATCCCGAGTTGAGCTTGTTCAGCAAACCGGCATGGCTAGGATAAACATAGTAGTAGCAGCGGTTTACCGATTGGTGCTGAGCTTGCTAACGACTTCACTAACCGAGTCTTCCATATTGAATAATGAGTGTCCACAACTTTGTGTATGTGAAATTCGTCCCTGGTTTACTCCACAGTCCACATACAGAGAAGCCACCACTGTTGATTGTAATGATCTCCGCTTAACAAGAATTCCTAGCAACCTTTCCAGTGACACGCAAGTGCTTCTCTTACAGAGCAATAACATTGCAAAGACTGTGGATGAACTTCAGCAGCTTTTCAACTTGACTGAACTAGACTTCTCCCAAAACAACTTTACAAATATTAAGGAGGTAGGACTGGCAAACTTGACCCAGCTTACTACTCTGCATTTGGAGGAAAATCAGATTACAGAGATGACTGATTACTGTCTGCAGGACCTCAGCAACCTTCAAGAACTCTACATCAACCACAACCAGATTAGCACTATTACTGCTAATGCCTTTTCAGGCTTAAAAAATCTTTTGAGGCTTCACCTGAATTCCAACAAATTGAAAGTTATTGATAGTCGCTGGTTTGATTCTACACCCAACCTGGAAATTCTCATGATTGGGGAAAATCCTGTGATTGGAATTCTAGATATGAACTTCAAACCTCTCTCAAATTTGAGAAGCTTAGTTTTGGCAGGAATGTATCTCACTGATATTCCTGGAAATGCTTTGGTGGGCCTTGATAGCCTTGAGAGCCTGTCTTTTTATGATAACAAACTGGTCAAAGTCCCTCAACTCGCCCTGCAAAAAGTTCCAAATTTGAAATTCTTAGACCTCAACAAAAACCCCATTCACAAAATCCAAGAAGGAGACTTCAAAAACATGCTTCGTTTAAAAGAGCTGGGAATAAATAATATGGGAGAACTCATTTCTGTGGACCGCTATGCCCTGGATAACCTGCCTGAACTCACAAAGTTAGAAGCCACCAATAACCCCAAACTATCTTACATCCATCGCTTGGCTTTTCGAAGTGTTCCTGCCCTGGAAAGTTTAATGTTGAATAACAATGCTTTGAATGCTGTTTACCAAAAGACAGTAGAATCCCTTCCCAATTTGCGTGAGATCAGTATCCACAGCAATCCCCTCAGATGTGACTGTGTCATCCACTGGATTAACTCCAACAAAACAAACATCCGCTTCATGGAGCCCTTATCCATGTTCTGTGCTATGCCCCCTGAATACAGAGGGCAACAGGTGAAGGAAGTTTTAATCCAGGATTCAAGCGAACAGTGCCTCCCAATGATATCTCATGACACATTCCCAAATCATTTAAACATGGATATTGGCACAACAGTTTTACTAGACTGTCGGGCCATGGCTGAGCCAGAACCTGAAATTTACTGGGTCACTCCCATTGGAAATAAAATAACTGTGGAAACCTTTTCAGATAAATACAAACTAAGTAGTGAAGGTACATTGGAAATTTCTAACATACAGATCGAAGACTCTGGAAGATACACATGTGTTGCCCAGAATGTCCAAGGGGCAGACACTAGAGTGGCAACAATTAAAGTTAATGGAACTCTTCTGGATGGCACCCAGGTGCTGAAAATATATGTCAAGCAGGCAGAATCTCATTCCATTTTAGTGTCCTGGAAAGTTAATTCCAATGTCATGACATCAAATTTAAAATGGTCATCTGCTACCATGAAGATTGACAACACCCACATAACATATACAGCTAGGGTCCCAGTAGATGTTCATGAATACAACCTAACACATCTACAGCCTTCTACAGATTACGAAGTGTGTCTCATAGTGTCCAATCTTCATCAACAGACTCAAAAGTCATGTGTAAATGTCACAACCAAAAATGCCGCCTTCGCCCTGGACATCTCTGATCAAGAAACCAGTACAGCCCTCGCTGCAGTAATGGGGTCCATGTTTGCAGTCATTAGTCTTGCATCCATTGCCGTGTACATTGCCAAAAGATTAAAGAGAAAAAACTATCACCATTCACTAAAAAAGTATATGCAAAAAACATCTTCAATCCCACTGAATGAGCTGTACCCACCACTCATTAACCTCTGGGAAGGAGACAGTGAGAAAGACAAAGATGGTTCTGCAGACACCAAGCCAACCCAGGTCGACACATCCAGAAGCTATTACATGTGGTAACTCAGTGAATATTTTGCTTCTGGTAGTAAGGAGCACAAAGACATTTTTGCTTTATTCTGCAAAAGTAACAAGTTGGAGACTTTTGTATTTCTGACTTTGCTAGTTTTTGGCAGAGTGGAGAGGATGGGTGGATATTTCAAATTTTTTTAGTATAGCGTATCGCAAGGGTTTGACACGGCTGGCAGCGACTCTAGGCTTCCAGTTAGTGTTTGGTTTTTATTCTTATCATTATTATGATTATTATATTATTATTTTATTTTAGTTGTTGTGCTAAGTTCAATAATGCTGTCCTAACTACAATGCTCAATAAAATGATTAATGACAGGTTGGGGTTCCCCTCTGCTTTTACCAGTAGCATGACCCCTTCTTCAGAAGCCATCAATAGAACTATGTCCTCCAAAAAGCTAACATACAGTGTCAAAGCAGCATAGAACCTTTTGTAGCAATCTAGTCTACAAACTTGTGATTCAAGAAGCTAAGACTAGACTTGTTACCTTTGTTGAATGATATTAGTTGACTGTACTGTAATGTTGTATCAACTGAATTGAATGTTCGCCTTTCAACAATGACTTTAGTTCTTCCTCTTTTTTTGTAATAGTTAAAGAGGCTTAGAACAAGCTAACAGGCAATAGAAATATGTATATCAGATTTTTTAATGTAACAAACTACACGTCAATTGTTACTTTATTCTTTTTATCTTTAGTAGACACTTTTAAAAAAAGATAATTTTGTTGTGTTTAACTCACCAACGTGGTATATAAAGAAAACAGAACTATAATAAATTAGTTTTGTTCTGATTTTTTAGAACACTTGCAATAATGTATCATTTATAGTTCTTGCTGATTGCAGTGGTAATATTTTTCACATCTATGGAAACAGCAATCAATAAATCAGCCAAAGCATGTTGTCTTTGAAAGTTAGGCTCTAAAAATTTTGAATTCTATTTCTAAGGAAAGAAGTATCTATTTTAATTAAGACATTTTAACAAATAGGATTTTTATATTTTAAATATTACTGACCAGAACCTAATGGGGAGTTCATACAAGGAAAAAAAGTATATTACTTTATCCCATGCATGCATAACTGAACATGATCATACATATATGCTATATTAGGTGATACAATATCTGTCCTTTTCTGAAAGAGTTGAGACCTAATGTTTCTCAAAATTTCTACATTTTTCCATTCAAGTATAAAACAGTTATGGAGTGTTTCAAACTGTACTACACTATTCCTTTTAACAGCTGTCCATGTGCTTAAACTCTTATTAGTCTGTATATTAGTGTGAGACAAGTAAATGATCAATAGAAAACAGAATAATTTCTGTATGGTTAGCATTTTTCATCCAAATACTATATACACAGAACTGGCAGAATTAGATGTTTCAAAATTACACAGATGTGGCTATGTGAATTTTAGAATAAAGGGAGCTAAGTTTAGGTATAATATCATTTCCACAAAGGGTATAGGGAGGAGACTTGAATATATAGGTAGAGTACAAAAGACTCATTTGAAAATTGGAATTGATAGGCAGAGAAATAAAGAAAGTCTGTTCCACATGGCAGCTGCTGCCATGGACATGCTGTTAGACCAGGAATGATGAGATTGTAAAAAAGGGACTAAGAGGAAACAGGTGCCAGATGAGCAGAATGAAGGAAAAGGGAGCAGAAAGAAGTCCAGATGATCACCAGGCTGAGAGATTTCTTTGTCAAATTCCTGTTTTATGAAACACTTAAAAAATAACCACTTTTCCTTCCCATTTCTAAGGGGGTTGGGAGAGAATTTCAGACACTATTGCAAGCTGAAACAGAAAAACTGTGAGTATCTAAGCTAGAAACATCCCCTGCCACAGCCCTCATTTGTGGATGCCACGGATAGCTTATAACTGGCTGAGGTTAAATTCTCCTGCCTGTTTAGAACTCTGCACTCCACTGATTTCTCCAAGCCCAGAAGCCTTCTAGAGTTTTGTACAGGTCTCTTCTACAGCTGTGAGCAAACTCCAGTGCCCCTGTATAAAAATTGCACCATATCTTCGAGTTCCTATTTACTCAGGATGAACTGCTGCACAAGACCAGATGAGAGGACCAAGAAAGTGTACGCATTGTTGGTGCTTCCAAGTACAATGTGGAAAACACAATTAGATGCGTGTTAGATGAAATCATGGTGCATTTCTTATGAGGGAATTCTTAACTTCACACATGGACCACTCAAGAACTTCTCAACTCAATCTGCAAACCATGACCCATGACAGCTTGCAGCTACAGGGAAGAGGCATTATGTATACCATAAAGTGATGATTTGACGGTAGTACAGAATGAGCACTTACATATTGGTGGATTAAAAAAAATAATTAACTCAATTATTTCGCCATTCTGAATATATAACAAGCACAAGAATATCGGAGTGCTTGTGTTAAGCCACTTCAGGGAATTTTCTTTTACTTTAAAAAAACAATTGAAGCTTATTTTTTTCCAGTATATATTAATGGGTTGGTTTTCACTTGATAGGAAGATGGCAGAACACTTTATTCACACTTAATTTAATTTGGTAAGACAGTCAGTGAAATTAGACATCAAACTAGGCCCTGGTTGTTAATGGAGGTTATATCACTTTTGTCAGTGAAGTGGCTATTATAGAGTACATTCTAATTTCACATTTTCCCTTTTGCTGCCTGCTGCCCTCAAGAGATGTAGTATATATCTAACTTGATTGTATAAGGCTATTTTTGGAGTAGTTTCTTAAGTCATTCCCTCATTTCCCCATTTAATTAATGACAAATCAAACTGATACCATTAATATAAAAATAAATGCAATGTGTGATTATCATTGCTTCTAATTTGACTGGCAAAAAGACATCATCTCCATTCTTCTGTAAAGAGTACCAAAGCCTATATGCTTAGGGCCAGGAATTTAGCTCAATGGCACTGCTTCTGCCTCACAAGCACAAGGTCCTGAGTTCAATCTATGGTACCAAAAACAAAACAAGGTCCATATGCTCGTTTGCTTGGTTTCTATTTATTCATTCATTAGTTAGGGATACTATAGTCAACTTTTTACTTAGTATTTGTTTTCTATATCTGTATTCTTTTTCCAAAGCATTTTGTTTTCATTATTGTTTTTACCCTTAGAGGGAAAAAACATAACACTTTGCTGGTAAAATCATATTTTCTGCCTTTCTGTTCATTATGAAGGAGAATTTAACTACTTCTGATGCATTCTAAGTACAACTGATAATAATGCTTTCTTCACCTCAGTCCTTTTATTCTCAACCTGTTTGCAAATAGACTTTTTTTCGCTGTTTAAATTCAAGAGATTAGCTGGTAGAAAATGTTTATTTAATGCAAAGTTTTAGAATCACCTTCTAGAGCTCTTGAATGATTTTGGCCTAGAACCTTTGAAGGACTTGATCTAATTTGGTCAGGACATGATTAATCTGTCTGTCCTCTGACTCTCTGACCCCTGCACCCTCACTGCTACCAGCTCCTCTCAGTAATTTAAACTGGAGATTTAATTATATGTATGAATAAGGAAGTGGTGAGGGATCTAATGATTGTTAATCCTTGCTGGCACAGCATATTCCAGCACAGGTTAACAGAACCAGATGGGTTTCTTTTATTCTAAAACTCCTCAAGTTCTTGATAGTACTAATAAAAGTATATAGTTTTTTTTTAACCATTATGTATCTCAGAGTACCCTTCTGCAGTACAGGTCCTAAGAAATTGAGGTTTTAATTTAATCCTAACAATAGTCTGGTAAAATGGATGCTATTCTTTCTAATCTACAGGTAAGAAAACTAAGACCCATAAGAATAAGCATTTGCCTGATACTATTAGCTCCGTAAGAGGGAGCCCATGATGGAGTCCCCTCACTTCTGGTTTTCTTTCCCTCCAACTAACCCCTCCTAAAGTGAAAGGAGGAACATCTATTGAAGGGTGGATGCTAGAAAACCCTGGGAAATGGCTGAACGAGTGAACAAAGAACTGTTAACGGGAAATGGCACCAAAGGCTTTCTTTATGTCTTAAAGCATGGTATGCTAATAATCTGTGAGATAAATTCAAACCGATGTTCATATCAGGATAAAATTTAATTCTAGTCTTCAGATGCCCCAAATTGCCCTCCCTATTACACATTCACAAAGTGTTAAAACTAAAAAAAAAAAATTAGGAAATTCCAAAGTCATTCTTGGCTTATGAAGCAATCATGGAAGTCCTACTTAAAACTACAACAAATTCCAACATTTAAAAGAGAAAATGTGAAGTTGATATACAATTAAGTGGTTCTAAGGATGATATCTGGCATCAAGAAATCACCCAGAACAGGTAGGAAACATACAGCTCTTGCATAATCACCAAATTTGTGAGTGTGTAATAGTATTTGGAAAATTCTGTCTTTTCCCCCAAAATCTGTTTAGATGCCGTAAGACATTAAAATGGCACAGATATTTTTCTAAATAAATGTAATTGTTCTTTCATAATACCCAATTTTTGTCAGTTATATACTACTTCAAATAAAGCAAAACCAGTGATACTCATGAATGTATGTCTAAACATAAACTGGATTGGATCGTGCCACCTCACCCCTTTCCACCTTAGCCTTTCATGCCTATAAGTTCAGACTAAGAGCAAATTTAAGCCTGGATCCTGACAGAATGATCATGAATTCCTAAAAGGCGGGGTATTCTTAATGAAAGTGGCATTTTTTTATTCATTAAGTTTATTGGTACATTTTAGGTATATAATATGATGATATTCATCATTGGGATCTTGGACCTTTACATGATGTATCTTGGTTCTCATTTTTTTGCCATTCCCTGCCCTCCCTTCACCCCCTCCACCCATCCTTATTTACAAAGACTTTTGTTTCTGTTTTTTTCTTTTCTCATTTTTTTTTTCATTTCCATAACTCTGCATATCTGTATGTCTCACTAATAGAAACAGAAGACCATATCACAGCAGGTAGAACTACATTTATTTACAGCAAAGACTTATGAAAGAAAAGGGGGAGCAACATTGTGTATCCAGCTCTGTGCTAGGAACTTCAGATAGAACATTTACATTGAATCCTCTGAGTCACCCCAAGAAGTACCATTAGCCCTACATTAATAACAAGTGACTATTGGGCCTCAGAGTAAAGCAAAATCATTCAGCTGGCAAGACTCAGATCTATATGACTAAAACTTGAAATTTTTCAAATATATAAGCTCAATCTAAATCAGGAGTATAGAACAGGTAGCACAAAAGCACAAGTTGAACTTGAGATGGCAAGAATTGAGTGGAGTAAGGCACTACTCACCCATATGGCCTCAGTACAGGGAATAATTTAACACCCAGACCTGATATCAATATAGTCGCATTTCCATGTCTGCTGACTTTGCATCTGTGACTTCAACAAACCTTGAATAGAAAATATAGGTTCAGTATCCTTTATCTCAAAAGCCCAAAGCAGAAGACTTTCAGATTCAGAGTTTTTTCATGTTGTAGGATATTTTTTTGCATAGACTTTACTGAGCATCCCTAATTCAGAATTCAAAACACCAAAATCTGAACCAGCATGATGTCAGTGTTTGTGACACTTTCGAGGATTGATGCCATACTCAAAAAAGGTTTGGCTGGATCTTTGGGAAGATTAACCCATATTTGAAAAAGCAATTGTTTCTGTACTAAACATACATTATTTTTTCTTTATTGGTACACTTTAGATATACAGTACAGTTGCATTCATCATTGGGAACTTGTACCTTTACATAATACATCTTGGTTCTTCTTTTTTCCCCATTTCCCTTACTTCTCTTCCCCCCTCCACCCTTTCCTATTTACAAAGACTTTGTTTCCATTTTTTTCCTTTTCTCTTATTTTTTCTGTTCCCTTCATACTTTTCTTCTTCCCCTCCCACTTCCCCTACAACTTTAGACCTTTTTTCCTATTACACAATATCAATTATACATTTTGATTCTTATTTACACTTTTAGTTTATCACACCAGAGGAACTATTCAGTATTTATATGTATTTCTTGTCCTTATTCCCTAAACAAAATATTTCAAATATTTACATAGCACTTCCATTTACTAAGCATAAGTAACAGTGAATAGAAAGGTGTAGAGAGGCTACATACAAATGCTACACCATTTTATATAAGGGACTTGAGCACCTGCAGATTTTTATATTCCCTAGGAGTTCTGGAACTAATTCTCTGGATACCAGAGGACAGCTATATGGGCATCTTAGAAAGCCAAACAGAAAGGACAACTCCAAGGACACAAAAAGTTTGTGACACCAACTCCATAGGAACAAGCTGCAGAAGTAAATCATGTAACAAAAATTAAAATTATTAATAAAACAAATTAACACAAAGTAGTGGGTGGCAGTAAAGGCAGATTCATATATTGAGGTTCTTGTGTGCCAGATGTTGGGCTACATGCCTAACTTTTACTGTTTTAGGGAATCCTCATAAGTTTATTAAGCAGGTATTTATCTCCATTTTTCTTCTTAGGAAACCACACACTCATTAATAATGCTTGATTTTACTTTATTCTACCTGGCTTAGGTGTGTTCCCCACCTTGTAAGGTGATTCCTAACTGCTATTCACTTAAATATGGCCTTTTAAAAATTTTAACAGTAGTATACACTCACCATGTAGAATTGGGAGAAAAAAATATGTATTAAAAAAATTGCATATAAGTGTATGACTCAAAAACACAGGTGAGATTTTTGTCCTACTACTTCCTAGCCTACTTCCTCTTTGTATATGTATATCCATATATAATTATAAAAATGTACCGTATGCATACAGAACAGAACAATTATATGTATGGTTTTATATATGTTTTTCTATGATATAAAAGGTAAGCATCTTTTCATATTACTAAACACCTGAATGCATGATATTAAAGGCTGTATAATCATCTATTATATGGCTATCTAGTAATTGAATAATCCCTTGTTTTTGGCATCTTATTTTTTCCTTGTTAAGCACTAAAGGCATCATATGCCTATTCTGCCTATACCCTCAACAGTGCAGTTATGGAGGAAAATATATATCTACCTAAAGAACTGTCATGACTCAACCAAGACAGTGAAACGGCAAGAAAGTACAGGGAGAAAGATCCCTGGTTGGATTGGTGAGCTCAAACTTCAAATTTCAATACTGAGGATTAAAAAATTAGGTAAAAGTCCTACATGAAAACATTAACAGGAAGGGTGACCTAGGCAGAAGGAACAAATTGTCATGCATATTGGTTGGCTTTCCTTTATTGTACAGAGTACCTAAGAAAATCACCTTACAAAGAGGAAAGATATATATGGTTCATAGTTTCAAAAATCTCAGTCCACGGCTGCTTAGCTCCATTGTTTTGGGGCCTGTGGTGAGGCAGAATATCATCAAGGAACAAGGGTGATCACCACATGGCAGCCAGAAACAGAAACAGAGAAAGAGACTGATGTACGAGGTGTGATCAAAATGTACAGTGAAGTTTTAAATTTTAAACATTTATTATATTAAGACACATTGCCATTAGTCCCCCTGAAAATACTTGTTTCAAACATACTTACTGCATCATTCTTGCCACTCTGAAGCAGTTCAAAAGTCCTTTTTTATGTCTTTACAGAGTGTGATCAAAAGTATGAGTGCCTCATTCTTGCACAGTGAGGCCATACGTTTTTGTTTTGTTTTGTTTTTTTGACACAGGGTCTCACTATGTAGTTGAGACTGACCTGGAATTCACTATTAGCCCAGGCTGCTGGTCTCAATCAAACTCACAGTGATCCTCCTGTGAAGCCATACTCTTAAGCGAAATAAATAGGACATACAGTTCTCTGATGTGGAAAACTGAAAGCATAAATAAGGACTAAAAGGTATAATAGATAATGTGAAATAGGAAGAAAAAGTACAAAGGGGAAGGAGAAATGGGAGTGGTAGGGGAAAAGAAAGAGGAGAATGGAATTAATACAAGAAAAAGAAAAAATGGAAGCAAAGTCTTTGTAGATAGGGAAGGGTGGAGGGGGTGAAGGGAGGGAAGGGGAACAGAAAAGACAAGAACCAAGGTGAATTATGTAAAGGTGCAAATTTCCAATGATGAGTGTCATTACACTGTATACCTTAAATGTACCAGTAAAATTAATTTTTAAAAAATAAATAAAGTGGGGTAGGGGTATTAGAAGGAGGATTAATGATAACACATCTTACTGTCATCATTTTAAAATTTTTAAAAATATTTACCATATTTCTTCATCATACCTTGTATAATATCCCCTTCAAGGGTACACCTTTTCTACTAGACCTCAGCTCCTAAGGGTTCTATTACTTCACAGTAGCACCATGGACTGGCAGTCCAACATTTAATGTATAGGGTTTTTGGAAATATTCAAGATCCAAACCATAACACTGATCACAGAATTTTCAAGGACATGGAAGAAGGCTTCTTGGAGGACTTGGGAATTCTAGAAGCATTTTAAAGAGAGTGGGGACATTAAAAATACAGTGACTCAATAGAAAACTGATAGGAGAAAAAGTATTCCAGATTTTTGTGCAAAAAGGAGAGGAGGAGCCCATGGTCCCAGATGAAGCTTTACTTCCAATTTACTTTTTTTTTTTTAAGCCATTGAACATAATCACTGGTGAAAGTGCCTTCCCAGTGAGATAAGAGAAGATTGTAAGAACAGCTTGATAAACCCTGGGGCCTCAATGTGGAATCTCAGCTGTGGTAACAAGTAAGACACAAGTATTAAACAGATGTGTGATTTCCCTAATTGCTTAAGCCTATCTCAGTCAGTGTCCTACAGTTAGTATATGTTTCTTCTTGTGTGTGAAAATAGGAAGTACATGTTTGGAAAATTAGAATTTATAATGTGGCATTAAAGCACAAAGTAATTATCTGTTCAACTTGTCTCTTACCCACTATATAAGTATTTCTTGTTCATTTGCTGAGATAATATTCTGACTTTTTAGTGTAGTATCGACCAATGGTTTGGCTTAGGAATAGTAATTAAGAACAAGTTATACTTTGATTTATCCACCCTGCACTGAAATATTGCAACACCTCTGTTTCCAGAAGTAAAAGAAGTTAAACACATTTTAATATAACCTACTACAAAATACTTCTGAATGCAGGCCATTCCTGTGAGATTTTCAATTTTTTTATTTTTAATTGGATTAATTCCTGACAACAGAAATTTATTACAGCAAGCAAAGATTGATCTGCTTGCTGTTATAAATTTCCGTTATACTGAAATGGTAGGTCCAGCAATATACTTGTTAAGAGCTGAACTGAATCTATGACTTCATAGTGTTTTTATCAATGGGAGATTTGTTCAAACCTGTTTACAGATTCTATCAACCTCTCTGGAATGAGTATTCATCTCTCTTTAGAGAAAGATTTAAATGACCATCCTAAAAATTTTACTTAGGATCCAAATAACAAATTTTTGCTAGAAGATGTAGCTTCCTGGTTAGATGTTATTTTGTCTGATAATTTTTTTGGCATTTGTAGAGGGCAAGCTATATCTGGCTGATTTGAAGAACAGACTATATTTCTCGAATTTTCTTTTGTCTTCCTCCTCCTCTTCCCTCATTCTTGCATGATGAAACCTTGGAAACTTTGCCTTAACTCCATTCCAAGTCTGTAGGAATCATTCAGCCTGGTACGAATGCCTAGTCTGAGCCACTTGTGATCTGGGATTGTCTAGATTTGGGCTTGCTCATCCCTCCCCCCACAGGTGCTTCCCTGAACATTTGACAA